TTTGTACAGTAGGGCTACGATGGCTATCCGAGTATAGAACTAGAGTACGAAACCTATCCAACTGCAGAGAGGTGCAGGACAGGGTGATGTTATATCCCCGAAACTCTTCACCGCTGCGTTGGAAGACGTTTTCAAGCTACTGGACTGGAAAGGATACGGTATTAACATCAATGGCGAGTATATCACTCACCTTCGATTTGCCGACGATATAGTCCGTGCCTCTGCACAGGTCCGTTTTAGAATGATCATTTCCTTTGTCCGGCCCTGTGGGTGGGAAATTACGACACATCTTCTCATCAGGTATATCTCAATCTCTGAAAACTAAAGTGTACAACCAGTGCGTGTTGCCAGTGATAACTTACGGATCTGAGACGTGGTCCCTCACCGCTGGCCGAATGAGGACGCTCAAGGTCGCTCAGCGAGCTATGGAGAGGGCTATGCTCGGAGTTTCACTGCGTGATAGACTCAGAAATGAGGATATCCGCAGTGAAACCAGAGTGACCGACATAGCCCAACGGATTAGTAAGCTGAAGTGGCAATGGGCCGGCCATATAGCTCGAAGAACCAATAACCGATGGGGAAGAAAGGTTCCCGAGTGGCAGCCTCGTACCGGTAGGCGTAGTGTAGGGCGACCCCTCACTAGATGGAGTGACGACCTGGTAAGACATGCAGGAAGTCGATGGATGCAGGTGGCTCAGGACCGTGCTTTGTGGCATTACTTGGGGGAGGCCTATGTTCAGCAGTGGACTTGTGAAGGGCTGTAATGATGACGATATTAGACAAGGTAAAATGCAAGTATTAAATGCTTTCCTTTTTTTTGACATGCTTAAATCTTTGGACTTCATGATCTCTTTTAATGACCAGTATTTCTTCCAAGCTGTTGCGATCCTAAAGTTAATTTCTTTCGTCATTTGATCTTCTATGGAAATTACTTGACCCAGATATATGTAGTCTTTTACATATTTTAGAGTATCGCCGTTTATTGTGATGTTAAAATTTGTGCTGTTCGTCATTATTTTGGTCTTGTTGGGGTTCATTTTTAGTCCAACTTTTATGCTTTCTTCATTTAGATTATTCATCATATATTGGAGATTTTCGGGGCGTTCTTCAATTAATATCAGGTCATCTGCAAACCTTAAATGGTGCAGTTTTGACCCGTTTATATTGATGCCATACTTATCCCAGTATATGTTGCGGTTGGTTCCGTTGAATAAACATATACATGTTATTAAAAATTCATGATTGGTAAGTTTTTAATATGATTACTTTACAAACATATATTTAAATAATGTTAGGTTCCCCGGTTAAAACCAACATCGTGTTCTGGAGGTAAATAGCTACTTACGATTTGACAGCGCTTACCGCTTACGATCGCCATTTTGCTTACAAGCGCTTGCTAGCGCTTTTTTCTGCCAAACGCAACCAATAATATATTCGTCCTATACTTAAATACCCACAGAAATGTCGCATCTGAACATATTAATTTCATAATCTATATTCCATGACACGAGATGGCGTCTTAGAAATAATTTGTTATATTATTAATTTATAATACTTTTTTTATTAATTAAGTATCTTATTAACCGATGAAAAGTAATTCCTTGGTTTTTACTAACATTTCTTGAATTTGTGCAATATCTAAATACACACGACGGCATATTTTTATCAAGAGATTTTTTTAAATCAACACACGTGACAATTCTACAAGCGCCTAGCGAGTGACTGATTAAAGTGCGGTGTATGAACCGCAGTTGAGTGGAGCAGAGTAGCTGAATGCAGTGTCGCCTCTAGTACGTAGTACATAATAGCTCAATGATGGAAATAAAATATTTTGGTATTTCTTAAAACAAACTCTTACGGGGGCGGGAGAAGGGGGTAGATAATATTAAATTTGAAGGGAGAAAACTTTTTAATGCTTTAAAATAATGCTTCTTACGGTTTTAAAACAACGGTTCAAATTTTATATGAAATTGGGAGAATAACTCCCTTTTATTAAGTAAGCATCTACTAAGAAATAAAAATTTAAATCCCTGGATAGTGAAATAAGCTTTTAAGAATGTCTTTTTACTGGGTGGACTCATATTTGTATAAGCAAAAATTATTAAATGATTATTGTAACTTTAAAATGAGTACGAATTTTTTAGGATTTAATTAATGCAATTAGTTTTTCCTCATTTTCCCAATATCTCACATTTAAGAGTTAAAACCATGATACATGGTTTGGGTGTAAAAAATGTTTTTTAATTGAATGGTGGTGAGGAAATCCGTAAAATGAAATCATCATAAATATGAATAATACCTATTATAGAACTTTACAAAATCTGCCTCTATTTATCATTATATACAAAATATTAAAAATTGTCTATTTATTATTGTTATCGAATTAATAATCCGACAAAAATATAGTGAGATCAGATACAGATAAAACGGCTTTACGTGCTTTCTAAGGCATAAGAATGAAATACTGCTAAACTCTTGACTCCAGGCTGCTTCTGACAATTTCTTGATAGAAAACCCAACTGATTTTAAGCCCGATGATACCTATTATTTCAAGATCAAAAAACTTTCCTAGGTTGAGTTTAGTTTTATTTTTCATTTGTTTGCGAGATGAGACAAAATATAGATACTTACGTAATTTCATTTATTTTGTTAATGTAGGTACTTAGTTTCTACGTAGCATTGGGTTGTAGTCTTCATTTCAAATTTTTAATTTAAAATTAATAATTAATGATTATGCTTGCCTATTTAAGACAATATCTTATTTGTAGTATGGAAACGAAGTATTGGCTAGAGAAATTCGGGAGCAAATTAGGGATTACTTTATTGTGGTTATTTTGATGTTTAGTGACAAAAAAAACCACAAGCGTACAGCTTGCCCTATTCGTTTCTTGGTTCGTTTGTGGGTCTGTTTATTTGTTCGTTCGTTTTTTTTTGTCTGATTGACCGACTAACTGAATGTTTATGATTTTTGTTAAGTCTTCGCGCCAGTTTAATTTACAAATAAATCACCATCAACAATAAATCATCCTACCGTTATGACATTGTATCTTTAAACGATTTTATCGCCTACTAATCATAAGTAATATTTATTGCGTAAAAAAATGCTTTTGTACTAAAGAAAAATACTGATTTATTTTCAAGAGCTCAAAACAACTTGTATTTTTATATAAAAAATATTGTAGTTTTCATTTAATAATTTTATTAAAAATTTCTCTTAATTTTAGTTACTAAAAATAATTAGGAATTCATCTAAGGCCTACTGTCCATGGCGGCGTAGCTTCGTAGACGCGTATTCGTCATTATACGCTTGGTGTACGCCTGCTTGCAGCTTACATACAAAACTATGTAACTCTGTCGACAGAACGGCAACGTCGCGCTCGCGTCGTTGCATGCAGGCTTCACGGCGCCTGCCGTACCACATGACATACGCCCGAGCGTACATCGAGTGAGCGCACCTGTTTATTTTCGTAAAAATGGCGGCAGCGGCCGCGAAATTTGTTCAGATAGTAAAAAAATATCCATGTTTAATTTAGTTATTGAAATACAATGGACGAGTGAGTATCGACTTTATTTATTTTGTACTTAAATACTTGACATTTATTCAATTATGCAATTATTCCACTGCTATCGCAGAGCAACATTAGGCTGTAAAAAGTAATTTGCTAAATAATTACGTAAACCGTTTGGTGTATTTACAAATGTCATGTTCGGTATCAAAATTGGTGCACGATGAATATTGGAACTATTTGAATTGTTTGCAGTCGTTGTGTATTGAACACCATCATATCTCCGTATGTAATTATGCAAAATACATGCGCATTGTACTATTGAAATTATTGTTGAGTATTTACGGCACGATATAGCTTTCAGTAGTACTTGAAATTTTTGTGTCAACATTCCAAAAACACATTCAATAATTTTGCGTCCGCGACTTAACCTATAATTGTACATTCTTTTCACATTATCCAGATTTCTAACTGAATATGGTCTCAATAAATTTTTCCTCAAAGGGAATGCATTATCTCCCACAAAGTAGTAAGGAAAACGATTGCCAGTGGCATCATTTGGCAATGATGTTAATTCAGTTGGGATACTTAAACCTTCCCTTTCCAACCAGTGCCCAAGCGCTGATACTTGGAACACGCCCCCGTCACTGTTCCGTCCCGCAAATCCACATTCAATGCTCGTAAAATATCCATCTGCATCACAGCATCCAAGCAAAATAATAGAATGATACCCCTTATAATTGTAGTTGGCTGAACCTGTATTAGGAAATTTCTGTATCCTGATGTGCTTACCGTCAATAGAACCCAAGCAATTGGGTAGATTCGAAAGTTCATAATACTTTTTCGCAATTTCTTTCCATTCATCAGTAGTTGGTACAGGCATGTACGTATCCTTCAATTCATTCCATATTATTTAGTCGTTTCTGATTTTACGCGTGACACTGTACATTCTCCTCGGGCAAAGTAAAGTCCTAATGCTCGAAACGAACAGCCTGTAGTTAAATACCTGAAAATAAATTATATTTTGTTTATTTTATTATCAGTTTATTGTGCACAAAATACAGCAGAGCTATTTTGTCAGTTATCAATGAAAGCGATGGTCACTACATCTAGATTACGTACTATGAATTGTCAAAACGTCGTCTTGGTACTAGTTATCGTCGGTTACCAACTAGAATGATGAAACGTAACATCTATACATTTCATAGTCCGTAATTTATGTGTAGTGAGTATCGTTTTTGTTTTTGATTGAGTTTAATAGCCCTGCACGTCAATCTTTTAAATATATATTTGAGAATAGAAAATCCTGTGTACTGTTGTGTATATATGTTGTTTCAGTAATTTAAGGAAAAATGGAAAAATATTAGAAACGGTTTTGTTCCAAGTTTAAAACCGAAGGCTAGTGGATCTATGGAAGGAGAAAAAAATACTATTTGCACGATGAGATGCAGTTTATATTACCATACGTAAAACCAGTCGTTCACATTGAAGAAAATGGAAATTTACCAAATCCTGAATTATCGCCTCTCAATACCTGCGTCGACCGAAGAGCGGGACGTTGATTCTAACAGGAATATTACGGAAGAAACTAATTCAGAAACTCTTTTCCATGTTGAAAAGCCGTCGTCGTCGTTCCAAAAACAAAAAAAAAAACTAATTAAACCTGTTAATAACCAAGCTGATAAGGCTTTTGTGGACTGGCTAAAAACCAAAAAACGTAATGAAGATGATCCACGAAAAATGTTCCTTCTGAGCTTGCTACCCGACATACAAAGTCTTTCAGATGAACAAATGAGCGCCTTTAGAATAAAAGTGTCGATTCTTCTAGAAGAAATTAAAAAACCAACGTCTTCAGTAATTCAGTCACAGCTGCACCAATATAGAGACTATTCTCCGATTTCCTCCGTTAATTTCCATACTCCACTGGTCCCATCCACACCTTCTCCAATAAATTATTCCACCGACTCACAAGTTTTCTCTGGGTATTCACAACCACAAGTTTTAACACTGACCCCTATTAATTATTCCCAAAATATTAACGATTTTGAAGATTTCGCAATAGAATAAACATGATATACATGTACATTTTTCAACTGTAATTTTGCATGATAATTAATTAAAAAATATTTTAATTAAAATTGTTTTACTTACCGCAATGTTATTAATATCTTTTCATCTGGGCTGACACATTCTGCATATTGGTGTTTCGTTTTTGTAACGGAGGGGCTACGATTTGCAGTAAATTCTGATAAGTAGTTTTACTCATTCTATAGAGTGAGTGAAATACACTATCGTCTTCTAATAATTCTCTTTCCCGCAACAAACAATCTACAGTTGATATTTTTTTCTATATATGGATGCACCCAATATAATCGACGTCTTCGGCGTTGAATGTAGTAATAAGCCAAAATAACGTCTTCTTCGTTCGACGACATTCTCACAAATGATTGTAAACGTACGCAAGCAATACGCCTCGTGGACAGAGTTGAGTACGCTGGGCTGCACAAGCTGCACGGCGTATTTTGAAGCGTCTATGAAGCTATGTCTCCGTGGACAGTAACGTTAAATGTCAAAGTAAATATCATTCCGTTCGTATACTTTAATTCTTGTTATAACTTTCTCTAGTGACCGAGTATATATTTACGCTCATGTTTCTATCAATCTTAAGAGCTTTTCAAATGTTACTGCTCTTGCTTCTAAGAGTTCTTATTGATCATTAAAATTTCTTATATTTTACGGACCGGCTTACTGCCTAAAGTAATATCTTATAAGTGTGTTACGGGTCCTGGATCCTATTTTCCTATGGAGAATTATTTGTGGAAAGATACAAGGATTTTTATTTGAGTTGAGATATGCTGTGATTATTTGTTCAATTTTTAGTCTTCGATTTTATTGCAGTGCTTTATTGTGCATTTGGAAGGACAGGTGTCAAAATTAAATACTTCTTTTATTAATAAAATATATAATAAGAACTCTTAACACACTTTCCACTTCTGGACATAGGTATTGGCCAAGGAATGTCACAAACCACGGTCATAAACCACTTGCATCCATCGAATTCCTACACGACATACACTTCGTACGCTTGTTCGTGTGGAAATAGAAACCTTGATTCGTAGAGTAGCGGTTCACTATGTCGCGGTTCTTTTAGTTACATAACGAACAAATTTTGTCATAGATATTATTTTTATTGCTATTTACACGTACTTACAAATATTACAGTTGAGAGTTCAGAATTATGCATCTTGTTTTAAAATATTGACAGATAATTTTGTATTCAATTGTTTAAATATTCTATAATATTTTTTAAATATTATAGTGCATGAATTTCTCTTCCATACTTTGGAAATGCTTTCTACCTTCTCGCTGACTCTATATACCATTGGTCATTAAGTTAGCAGATTTTGCAGTAACCTGAGACTAGCTATCTCGCTAAATTTAATTCAAAATTTTGCTATTTAGTAGTCTTCGTCAATGAACTGAGATTGTAAAATAAATAGCACTATTTAAATTATACTTGTGCTTAGGATATTAATGTTATTATCATTTATTATCGATGACAGGGAGTAGCATTTAATCGTTAGACGTCTGCTAGTCCTCATACGCAAATTGGGAATTTTCTCTACAATCAGAAAGATCCATGTAATGGACATTTACGGCCTGATGAAGAAGTAATTATTCGGAGATTTACCAAAAACACCATGGGAGATATTAATATACCTATTAAAAGTAAAATAAGGACTTACAAAACTCATCTCATTTTTAATAGAGTTTTGGAGCAGGGATGAATCCATCGCGCTTGCAGTTTGAAAATTTTATTTGTATTGGAAATATTTCCAAACTCCCAGCAGATGCTGCCGTGCAGATGCTCTCCTCCACCGCCAAACAAATAGAAATTGCAACTAGAATTATTATCGGTGCCAGGGATTGAATTCATTTTGCTCGTGTAAATACTATAACTTTTTTTGCGGGTTCTTATCTTCTGAACTACCTCGGATCATAATGTTATTATATGACATAATAATAAATTTAATATTAATTTTTAAGTTTCAAGTTTGGAAAATAATATCCGATATTTGTCACCTAACATTGTTTGAGATATACTGAAGAAATTTGCTTACGAGCAACGAACGATGAGATAGAAGGTACTAAGGCCCCTCTTCCTCTCCCAATACGGCTAGTCCCCGCGGGAGAGAACGACTGTAACCCTCCATCGCAAAAAACTCTACATCTGTAGAGTCAAAAACAATGACAGTCGCAAGAAAACGAGAGTGATAGACGCATTACATTACTCTCAAAAATTTAAGTGGAAGTGGGCAGGTCACGTAGCACGATCTACAGATACCAAATGGACTAAACGAGTAACCATGTGGACAGGACCAACAGGCAAACGCAAGAAGACCGAAAGAAAGATGGGTCGATGAAATTGAAAAGACAGCAGGAACAAATTGGTTAACAATAGCACAGAACCGAAAAGAGTGGGAAAAGATGGAGGAAGCCTTTACCCAAAGAGGAGTCCTTAATTGAAATATATATTGTATTTTATTTTCTAAGCATACATATAATTGTTGTATTGTAATTATTTTCTATTATGGAATAAAGAGGCTTCATTATTATTATTATTATAAGGCCCCTTTTATGCTTCGTACTTCATCTGATTTTGGTACTGTTAACTTAGCTATTCCCCAACACTAGTAGTAATAAAATCTTTACAGCGATTTTTTTATAAAACTAAACTGACGAACGAAAGTACAGACTAACTGATACTAACTGGCTACTTCAGCTCAGGGACACGTGCAGCAATCTGCAAAAAAGTCTACCGATGCGTTGACACCTCTGAGGATTAAGACGTAATGCCTCAATTCCAATCATCATGAAATCTATTGTTATATTGGTTCCTACACATTTTAAAATAGGACAGAGGCACTGCTTTCTGGTAGCAGAAGTAGGTAAGGGGGTGGTACTTACCCAGACAGACTCATAGGCAGAAAAGTTGTCCTACTACCTAGTTTTTTCTTATAGGATAGGGTGACAGAACTTGTTATAACCGGCTTCACTCGTTCACTGTGACGTAGGCGCGGGACTCGAAGCTTGTTGTCATAGATATTTTAACGGTGATTCTCACCACCATCCTTCACAGTTAGCTACCGTGGGTAAATCTTTGTTTCAGAGAGCACGAGGGATCTGTGACAGTAAACACCTGGCTGCAGAGCTCCACCATGTCAAGCAAGTTTTGCATGACACGCCTACGTCACCGTGAACGAGTGAAGCCGGCCACAGTCGAGCGTGTACCTTCTGTACTGCCATATGTTAGAGGAGTCACTGACAAGATTTGCTACATCTTGAAGCGCGCTTCCATCAAAACATACTTCAAGCCGCTGAAGAAGATTGGTCAGTTTTTACCATCGATCAAGTGTAATGTCCCTCTGCAAGATGCAGGAGTGTACAAGCTTGATTGTGAATGTGGTCTCTCCTACATAGGACAAACTAAAAGATCAATAAAAACCCGCGTTAAAGAACATATAGCTGATGTGAAGAATCGACGCTCCGGGAAGTCTGCAGTCTGTGAACACGTACAGGATCGCCCCCGTCACTACATCAGATCTTATAGAACGCAGATCCTCACTAAAGAACACCGATTCCTTCCAAGGATGATTCGCGAGGCTATAGAAATCAAAAAACATCCTAATTTCAATAGAGAAGATGGCTCGGTGCTACCATCTGCTTGGGATCCTATAATAAATAAAATTAAATCCCAACCCAAGCATACAACTGCAAGACTTCAAGATACCATAAGTTCATACTGCATAGATCGGAACAAAAGTTAAATTTTAATCTATGGTAACCGCGGTTAACTATGACATATGGACGTTGAACATCTCAGTCCTGCCCGTGACCATGAGTGCTGTAAAGCGTTCGAAACGTAGGGTATTTAAAAAGTTAAATATACGCGATAAATTCCGTAAAAACTAGTATTATTTCAATGTGTAGTGTTCACGTAAATATAAGAAATCATTATGTAAACCAGTACGGACTGGTAATTGCAAATAAAATACGCCGATTAGAAGATCTAAAGACCAAGCGCGCAAGATATCTAACAGCCTTAAATTTCTTGAAGAGATGCCGTGACCATAATCTCATTCCTACGTGTGTTAAAATATCAACCAAAAAGGACATTCGACGAAACGCTAAGATCTTAAATCAGGCGAGTAAAAAGTTGTTACGGACGGTAATCCAACAAAAACGCTCCGATCTATATGACATAAACAAATCCATAGACACATCATCCATAGCGGCCCGTGGTGCTGCTCGACGAGGTGGGCAAGCTCTTTGAAAGAGTCATTGCAAACCACCTCGCCGAGCACCTTGCGGGGACGGGGCCGGATCTTGCGGAACACCAGTTTGGTTTCCGCAAGAGGCGCTCTACGGTGGACGCCATCATGCGCGTGAGAGCCCTCACGACGGGGGATGCAGTGGCCAGAGGGGTGGTTTGTCTTGGCGGTGTCTCTCAACATCGCCAACGCCTTCAACTCCATGCCCTGGAGCTGCATTAGGGAGGCACTCCGGTATCACCGGGTGCCAACCTATCTCCGTCGTATAGTCAGGGACTACCTGACGGACAGGGCCGTCATCTACCCCGGTCGCAACGGTGAGTGGAACCGTCGAGAGATGTCGTGCGGTGTCCCACAGGGTTCGGTTCTGGGGCTACCTCTGTGGAATACCGGTTACGACTGGGTGCTGCGCGCCGACCTCCCTACCGGCGTCAGCGTAGTTTGCTACGCTGACGACACGCTGGTACTGGCACAAGGGGGGTCGTACAAGGCGGCGGCGGAAACTATGACACGCGGGGTTGCGATAGTCGTTGAGAGGATTCGGCAACTGGGTCTCGAGATGGCTCTGCACAAGTCCGAGGCCATGCACTTCCATGGTCCTCGGAACAGGCCACCACCAGAATCTTCAGTGATGGTAGGAGGGGTATCCATCGGCGTCGAGTCGACGCTGAAGTACCTAGGACTCGTCCTCGACGGCCGATGGAACTTCGTTGAGCACTTCCGACGTTTGGCTCC